AATTTATTTTTATTTTATTAATTTTTATTTTTTATAGCGTACCTTTGTCGTTGGGGGCTGACTTGGTCCTTCATTCAATGACTAAATATTTGAATGGTAACCCATTCAATTTTGACTGATAGTTGGTTTCAAATTTGATCCTACAGGTCACTGTGATGTGTTGATGGGTGCATTGTGTACTAATGAAAAGAAGATTCATGAAAAATTAAAATTCCTACAATTAGGTGAGCAAAATTTTTCTAGTTATGGCCATTTTTAAAAATCAGCCAAAATCTGAAAAAATCTTTGTACCATAGCCCATGAATTTTCCAAAAAATGACTCAAAAATCATTAACAATTTTTATTACATTTTCTGATACATATTGATGCACTTATGCTGTGTAGAAAGTTTGAGCTGATTCCAACTTTAATTTTTCGAGTTACGGCCATTTTAAAAAATGCCAGAAATTGGAAAAAATCCCTGTACTGGTTTTTTTTCAAAAAATGGATCATTACTAATTTTTATTACATTTTTTGATACATATTGATGCACTTATGCTGTGTAGAAAGTTTGAGCTGATTCCAACTTCAATTTTTCAAGTTACGGCCATTTTAAAAAATGCCAAAAATCGGAAAAAATTCCTGTACTATAATAGCCCATGGTTTTTTCAAAAAATGGCCCAAAAATTACTACCAATTTTTATTACATTTTCTGATGGATATTGATGTACCTATGCTGTGTAGAAAGTTTCAGCTGATTCCGACTTAAATTTTTCAAGTTATGACCATTTTAAAATTTGGTTAGTTTCTAAAAAAATCTCAGCCCAAGGTTTTTTCAAAAAATGGCTAAAAATGATCCGCAATTTTTATTACATTTTCTGATACATATTGACATCCTTATGCTATGTAGAAAGTTTGAGCTGATTTCGATTTATTGGCCTCGCCTACGCGAGGTATAGGTAGTTGTTGTGTCTGTCTGTCTGTCATTCATTCTGTACAACTGAAATTTGTTTTTAATAAACAATAACTTTAGCACAGCATGTTTCAAGCTCCTAGATCTTTCTTTTTGGCGTGGAAAAGTCTTTCTTAACTGTTTTGTGTTGCTCAAATACAAGTGCTAGGTATAGAAGCTTCAAAGTAAGAAAATCGAGCAGTTGGGCCAAGTTCCGTTGTGTTGGCACTTTAGAGATAGATGGTAGCATTTTTCAGTAGATTAGAACATGGCCTTCAAATAATATGAACAGATTTCTCTAAATCTTACTTGATG